GATGTATGTGTATAGGTTGTGTGGCATGTGTGAGTGTGTGTGCGCGCGCGTTGTGTGCGCGGAGAGTTGGTCATCACTTGTGTGGCATTTGATAGAACATCTTATAGGCGTTGTGCAATGTGTATGTTGTGCGTGTAGAATGAGCAACGAAGAGAAAAGAAGAACAAAAAGAGAGGCAGAATTAAGTGAAGGTCTAAATTTACCTGACAGTGGTAACTAGCAATGGCAGTGGATGGACAGCAATAATTGGCGAATTTGAACTTGAAAAAACTGGTGAAGAGTAGGGATGTCATTGGACCAAAGCGAGGACGGAGGGTATAGTCTTCATCCCCGTACCCACTTAAAAAATCTTTGTCTATCCCCGGTCCACTCTTGCTAACGGATATAATTTTCATCCTCATCCCCGTCCGTGGGTAAATTTATAATCCCCGTTCCTGTCCCCGCTTCCCCCGTACCCGCTCAAGCCTAAGCCCAAGCATAAGCCCAAGTTCAAATGTTCTATTTATTTAGTCTGAGTTATCCAACTCGCTTTCAAAAATCTAAGCATTGCAATACTTCGAAGGGTTCAACTTGAAGGTCGGTTTCAAGTTGAACTCAAGTTAAATGTTCTATTTATTCAGTTGAACTCAAATTTACACCTCGACCCACTCTGTTAGACCCAAACCAAGCCATCCCAATATAAATCTACATGATAATCAAAACCCATGTAACATATAAAATCCATTTATTACATGTACCAATATATAATTTAGTCCAAACTAAATGTTTGGGAAACAAATTCTATAAATCATAACATCTAAAAAACACTATTTTTTTAATCATTATTGTCACAAACATGCCACAAAGAAGACCACGTGAATAAAGGGTTTGGAAAACAGTCAAACAAATGAATTGCATCTTTTTTGGTGTCCTTTGATTTGTTTTTTATTTTGAATTTGGTTGATTATGATTTGCTAATTAAATCCTGAAGCTCCAATTTGTAATCCAGTTGAATAGAGTTAAATCCAATTTGATTGTGATTCGAATAAAGGGTTTGGAAAATAGTCAAACAAATGGATTCACCCTAAAGGTGATACAAAGTGGGTTGAAGAAGATTTCGATAAACAAAGTATAAATGTTAAAACAAATGGAGTTGAAAATAACCATCACATTGAACATTCTATATTAACTGTCATACAGAGAGTCAGAGAGAACCTGGGATGCTTGTGGGTGTGGCTTCGAAGATGAGACAACGAGAGAGGAAGAGGATCGATCGACTAAGATAGGCCCTTGGTGATCGATTTCTCTGAGGAAGCTCTAGATGCTCTAGATCGATCTGTCCTAAGAGAGGGGGCAACGCTGATAGAAGAAGTTAGAAGAGAAGTCAGGCCTTAGGGTTTTTTAACTGGGATGTATATATATATATATTTATTTATTTATTTATTTAACGGGTAACGGGTAACGGGTAACGGGGACGGGGCGTGGATAAGGGTAAGTTCATCCCCGCCTTCATCCCCGCACGGATTTATACGGGTATCCCCGTATACATCTACCGTCCAATACGTATAATCCATCCCCTGTTCAAACGGGATGGGTTTGGACGAATACCCGTTTTTCCTTGGTCCACTGTCATCCCTAGTGGAGAGAGAGAGAGCGTGTGTAAAGCTTGAGATTTCATGTGCGAAAGTTGGGATTTGTGGGGAGAGACTAGGAGAGGCGTGAGATTCCATTTGGGTATGAAAAGAAATCACAGAGATCACATTCTGATAAGGAAAGAAGAGATCACTGCGTGAATTTGGGAGAGAGAGATCGCTTAATTGGAGAGTGAATGAGAGGGAAAGAGAGATCGTTGATTGGGGCGTGATTGAGAAACAGAGAGAGGTGTCGGGTGAAAGTTTTTAAAAATAAGAGTTAGTGGAGAAAAGAGTCTAGGGTAAAAGGTGAGTTAGACGAGACATAAAGAAGAGGGAGGAGGGAGGGAGGGAGAGACATGTCGGGTGAGGTAGCAAGAGATAAGGGAAAGAGAGTTGCAAGGAGGGAAGGAGATAGGGTTAGAGTGATATAGGAGTCTTTCGATTAGTTAGTACGAGATAGGGAGAAAAAGTTAAATAAGAGATAAGAGTCTTAAAAAATTTTGACATGAAAATCGTTAGATAAGTAATCGTCAATAAAATTAGAATATATTGATTTAAAGTGTATTTCAGGTTATAGGTTTATAATATCTCAATAATGTGACACCGACCGATCAAGCAAGAAAGAAACGGACAAGGCACTGGAGACAAAAAAAAATGAGTAGTCAAGGCGAAGAGAAAAAAGAATTTGAAATGAAGTGTGATTAAGTAACTGCATAAAGATCACGAAATGGGAAGGTCCAGTGAAATACCAGTCGAACTTCTCACCGTAAGGTTGGAAGTTCAAATCTTAAAATCCATATTGAGATTCACTAGTTGATTACTATACTAGCCTAATTAGGTTCGTTCTCGAGAGTATGAATGTTCAAATTTCTGATTAACAATGTTCTACCCTATCCAATCTTACTCGACTCTATTGAACGGCTATTTGAAAAAATAAAGTAAGAATGCAGAAGAATTTTTGGTCTATTGATTAAATCAGGTAGAAATGCAGAATATCCATTAATTTTTGTATTCTTACCCTACCCTACCCATGTTAATTTATATATATATAAACTAAAATCCTAATTCCCTAATCATATGATTTAAAATTAAAATAATTGTTATTATATTTGTGCAACAATTATAATGAATTGATGTTCATATTTTCTTGTGTTGTATTGTAATTGTTGTTATAATTGTTTTAAATTTTAGTATATTGATTTATTGTGTTGTTAAATTAGTGAAAGTTATTTAATTGAATTGTTAAAATGATCCAAAAATTAAAAAGTATAAAAGTATTCACCAGACTTCCTACCCAATTAATTTGGCCAAAAGTTGGATAGAAATAACACACTTGATTGGGTAGGATAGGTCAAGAAAAAATTCTTTTGCAAAATATCGAATAAGAAAATAGAAGATCATATTTCCTACCCGTAGGGTAGGGTGAACACCCCTACCCGAGAGGACTAACGGGCACAGTCAAGGATCCATGATTCCATCAGTAAAGCATATTGAAGTAGTCTCTGGATGCTCTCCTTTGTCCCGGCCCTTTTTTCACCCAACCCAAAAAAAAAAAACTGCATAAAGATACCAACAAGTAGTTGAGTAATACAGGTGTTAGTTATTGTTTGGAGTTGTATATATATATATATATATATATCAACTAACAAGTTGAATCCTTATCCCCTATATATTTTTCTTCCAAAAAATATCACATTACCCAATTCTATCACAAGTTCAATCATTTAATATTTAATTAATTTGTAATTTAACACAGCTTTTATTTCATACACAATAATGTACATATGTTGAAATTTTTTTTTCGAATTATGTATTTTGAACAAATTTTGATACTATTTTTAAGAAAATAATAAATAAAAATTACTTTTAAATAATGTAAGCAAAGAAATTAATTTTAAATTTGGTATAATAAGATTAATTTTTTAAATGTTAAAATCTTATATTTCATCGTACCTTCAAGTACTAGTTGTGACTATATAATAAAACAAGACTAAAACTTAGCCTACCACAGCAACGAACTAGACCGTTTAAATCCGTCGATTTATATTACGATTTAGAGTATAATATTTTAACTATAATAACACATTTAAATTTTAACATTTTAACTATGGTAATTCTATAACTCATTTAAATTTTAACCTTTTAATCATAGTGAAAAAAAACATGCTTTGCACGGGATCTGACTAATATACATTATGAGATTAAACACTTCTGTCATTTCATGCAAACAAAGTCAGAACTATTTATTCATTAACATGGTGCCAAGGAAAAAAGGGCACTGTATTATGTGGTACTTAGTAACATACACAGACCACCACATTTTTTAAAAATACATGTATGATGTTCTTTTCCTTAATTTAATGTGGTGCTATAAAGAGAAACATGAGGCAAAAACAAATATATGATGTCATTAAAAAGACCACTGAAATACAATAAGCCATGCTAATCTGCATGGGCAAGACACATCATAAATAGTGTACAATGGATAGAACTTCATGAACTGCAAGTTATATTTCATGAATTAGATTCCTTAGATGGTTAGACCATCTAATGTGGTTAAAAAATATTATTAAAAAGTAACTCATAGAGAATGATAATAAAAAAATTGGGATAATTTATTTGTATTATGTACCCACCAGATCAATTCTTGGGAATACACCATATTCCCACATCATTATAAATTGGGTATAGAAAATCTAGGATTACTTAAAATAATTATATTAAATTGTATACTTATCCTAATTTTAGAGTACACCTCTACCACATGGCATTGTTTTGTTAGGATAACATCACTCATTAAAGAAGTGATATCCGTAACCAAAACAAATGATAGCAACGTCGGATCGGTGGCCTACTAAATAAGTGAAACCTTTTCGGTCTACACCTTAACTCTATGCAGCGGGTGTGATGATAGATATCCTCACAAAAAACACAAAAACAATAACAGTCAAGGAAAGAGGGGGAGAAATGGGAAAAGAAGGTGACGGAGGGAAAAAGAGGAGAAAAGGTGGGGAAGAGAGAGGCATGGGTAGTGAGGAGTTTTAGGAATGTGAGGAAGTTGAATTGAAAAAAACTGAGTAAGAGACTACCCCGTCCCCGTGCCTAATAAAATGCATTTAAAAAAATCAAGAATTCAGAAAATTAGGATTTAAAATTTGGAGCTCATCTATATAAAGATAGATAGAAGTGCTTCATGCCATAAGTTTGTTGCTTAAAATCAGTTCATCATTGATCTGCATCATCTTAAAATAAGTCATACATCAAGATTTACCTTCAGGTGTCAATAATATATATATAGAAGTGCTTCAAGCCATAAGTTTGTTGCTTAAAATCAGTTCACCGTTGATTCCCATCATCTTAAAATAGGTCATACATCAAGATTTACCTTCAGGTGTCGCTATGAACGTGCTGAAGTAGAAATCTAGCATTGTGCAAAAGAGCATTGATCTCCTCATTTGAGGCATCAAGCAAGCGCAATTCCTTGATATCATCCTGCCATTTTTCCATCTGTTCCTTATGTATTCTGCAGACAGAAACGATTCAGCGTTGTAACTAAACCACATCACTAATAACTGCAATCCTAGGTTTTTATTTCATAACTTACAAAATCATCCGTTCCTCAAATTCAATACTCAATTCTTTCAGGAGTGACTTCCCTGATTCCAGCAGCTCAGATACCTTCATGATATGGTAATTTAAAGCATTAGAACTAGCAAAAATTTACATCAGCATTCAGTAGTAATACTTGTCTATAAAGAAGATATTAACAGGAGTTAAGCATGATACTGTCCCAAAGGGCATATTTATGGCTTCTTTGAGAGGGTACCATGCTCAATCGCATAAGGTACATCATTGAGCACATCTACCAGCTGAGTAAAGCGCTCGATCTTTTCAAGAATGTGAGTGATGTCAAGATCCATCTGCTCAGACCCAACAGCATTTGTCTCAGTTTCTTCCCCTGCAATTCCTACAAAAGCTTCATCGGCCACCACCAATTCATTCTCCTCCACCTAATGATTATGTAAGCATCACAATAGACTTCAGAATGGTTGTTAGTGTCTGAAATATTGAGGGATTGATACAAGAAGACATACAGCTGTTTTCTTGCGTTTCCTCATGACTTCAGTCCCTTCACTTTGCATTTTTGAAAAATAAAGACTGGAAAAACATTACAAAGGTTAAGGATGTCTTATTTTACAAAGAGAAGTCATTGAAAGATGATATCAGGAGATGGGAGGAGAGAAGGGGAAGAGAGAGGAACAGCGGTTAAAACAGTTGGTTGTCTAATGAATGCAGAAGTTTGTGCATTCTATATTAGATACATCAAATTTGCATTGCATCTGTATGTTAAATATAGATTATGTTTTCCTTTTCCTGGCAATGCACTTTGTGGACTGATTGTAATCATATAACAATATGGTCATGTCAAGATCCTAGTCCATGGTCCATGACTGGAAAAGGAAACAAAAACACAGACTGAAAATCCTAATGAGTCCTTTTAGCAGACTGTACAGGAAAATAACTGTCATCCACTTTGAATACAATATGGATTATGGAAGTTCGAATAAAAAAAATATGGGTTAAAAGTTAGCGTTTTCCACTGTCCAAACAGAACAAGCTATCAATTTATGCTTGCAAAACAATGAAACATTTTACCGAGTAATGCTACCTACACAAAAATTGTAGGCAAGTTAGCATACAGGGTGAATGTAAAAACAAAGGACCATTGATGTGGCACTTACAAAAAATCCACTGCCACATCATTTTCATGTATGGAATTCTTGTTACAAATTATTGGAATTTGAATTTTGTTTCAGCATTATAATACCTTGCAGACTCAATATTCCAATCATCTTGGATGAAGAGGACCATCAATAACCAGTATCCGCAGAATCCAACACAAGGTATCCCAAATAACCTTAAATTGCACAGGCGCACACAGGCACATAGAAAGAGGAGATAATGTTTGTTTTAGATTGAGCTTGAACAAAGAGCTCATTGTTCTTATACATGTGATTCATGCCTCATAAACACCCATACCCCATCACATTACAAATATTCTGAAGTGCTTCACAAAGTGTCCTGTAATTTCGCAACAAAAATTTTGCAGCAAATTTTCACCTTATTATCCACAAGTATTCTCAATCATTCAACATAATTAATTTGAATTGTGGTTCAACTTTGATATCACATATAAGTAGTACTGCTGAAAGGACATGAGGGAAGTCTGGGAAGGGGTGCTCCTCCATTATAAAAATCAAATTGATGATAAGAGACAATGATGATGAGGACGAGTGTGTGTGGGGGGGGGGGGAGTAGAAGTTTGCATGATGTCGAATCAGGATATTGATTGATCCACATCGTAAAGTACCTCGTCTAAAAAAATGTGGAGATAATATTTTCCCAGATCTGAGAATCCCTAAGCGATCATCATCAGCTATAAAGGATTAACTATCAATGACTACTGCCAAAACTTTTTGGTGAAAAGGGGCTGGTGCTGTGCTGATGAATGTTTGGGTGTTTTTTTCAGTGAAATGGCGATGAGTTTTTGGGTGTTAAACCATCAAAAGATGAAGAAAATAACAATGCCGATTAGAATTGTTCGTCTAAAAACATTAGAAGTATTGAGGATGAGAAAACAACTATACACATGCGTGCTTCCCTGTCGAACCAGATTCTGATTTCAATGCTATGAGAACAACGATCGGAAATGAGTAGGAACTTACTGAAGTAGCATTAGTATGATTCATAAATTAAACACAATGATAGATCATTTAATTTAAATCAAATAAAGAATCCACTCCTATCGATCTCCTGATCAGAAAGATAATCCCTAAAATGTGAGAGAGAGAAAAAAAAACAAAAAACAAAAGCAAGCATGGGGACTGGATGAAAATACTCAAGCATCCAAAATTCAGATCTCACCTCTAACAGAGAATACAGGACCGGAGGTCCGGAGATACAACCTTCGGGACTAACGACCAATAATAATCATTAAAAATGAAAAAAGAAAAAGAAAACCCAAAGCTACGTGCAATCTGAGCAGGACAAAATAGCTGACTGACGGATGAATGGTCGGTAGTGAGAATTGTTGTTTTTTTCAATCGATCAAGTAAAACGAGAAAAGAGGATCTCCTACTTGAATTCATCGATCAAAATATTCGGAGAGGCAGAGAAAGAGAATCGAACCTGTGGCGAAATAGGCTGAAGCTGATACTTGAATAGGAAAAAATGGAAGTACCAGTAGTGCCTTGCCCTCAAATACTTTCAAATTGCAAAAGCTGAATTCGGCGGGAAACTTCGTTCGCCGGGCAAAGGTGTGTTCTGTCCCTTCAATGTCACTTTTAGGACATTTGATTGTCCATGAACCTACTTTTGTGCATATTATGTATAAATTCATTATAATATTTTTTTCTCCCCTCTTTTTCTTTCCTCTATTTTTTTTCTTTTTTTCTTTCACTATTATCAAAGAAAAATAATACAAAAAGAATGAGAAATAATATTTAAAAAAAATAATTAAAATATAAAAAATCTATTAGAATGTGAATTGAAAAAATGAATAGTTAAAATAAAAATATTATTTTTTGAATAACTAAATTAACTTTTATGGTTGATTAATGAAACAATTAATAATAACAGACAAAGATTGAGTAGTTAGGTCTGGGACCTAACCACCAAAGGCGACATTGATAGCCAGACAACTCTACTAATGAGAGAGTACAAGGTAGTAGGGAGAGAGAGAACAATAGTATGCTCAAGGTGAGGTGTGTGAGATCTCTGCTCCATATATAAGGAGTTTACAATTATAAGTACAAAATCCTATCTGTAACAGTGACGTGAATGTCAAGCTACTAATTTAATTGGGGAAGATAACTGTAGTTGGAGATAGGCACTACTTTAAAGTAATGATTATTTTGATGATTGCTCTTTCACGTGCGTTGACTTTTCTTAAACTCTTTAATTTTGAATTGGACTCGGGGCATAAGTTAAGTCTGACTTGTCTTTTTGATGATTTGACATATCTTTGCAAATATTCTATTTGAGTGAAATTTTATGGTAAAATAGCTAAATTTTAAAATTTTTGTGTATTTTAGCTAATTTCTTAGATGTGCTCTTATAAGTGCAGCCAACCTCCTGATCCAAAAAATCAAAAATCAAAATCAAAAATCAAATTACCCATTTTTATCATTATTCCTATCTTATAAAACAATCAAATTACTACTAAAACTCAATATGCTTCATTTTCTCACACTTTTCTTCTTTTGTTTTTTTTACAAAATTTTAATTTTCTTCATTATCATAACTCCAATCAATAATTAAGGGTGTCAATGGGTCGGGTTAGCCCAAAATACTCGCTATTGGCCTAAAAAAATAAGTTCAAAATTTGATAGGCCCAATAGTTGACTAACCCAAATTCGAGCTCAATATCCTCCAATAAATGGCTTGGGCCTACCCCCAAGTCCATTACCTGGCCCATTGGCTCACCCCCAAAAACCCAGTCAAAAAACCCACCCGCTCGGCTCAGTTCGCCTCCCCATCCACCCACTTTGTTTGGAAAAAAAATTGACAATTCAGAAGTTAGGTAGCATACACGCTTTAAATGTTAGAGTTGTGCAAATAATAACTAAATTGGTAGATGTAAACTTAGTTGTAATGTGTTCATTGTATTATGATGTAGTTTCTCTCTTATTTATAAATAAAATTATTTATTATTTACTTTTTGTGTATTTTGACTCTACTTTTAATTCAAAAATGTAATTTTTAAAAATACTAAATTGAAAACTTTTTAAATAAAGATGTATATATAAAAAACACATACATGCCCATTGAGTGGCGGGTTGGGTTGCGCCTACCCCTACTTGAAACTTAGCCTGGCCGTCAGATAACTCACCTAGATAAGGGCTTGGGCCTATCCTACAAAGGCCTAGCCCAACTCAAAAAAATTTCATGGGCCTAGTTTAACCCAGCCCCGTGTACACCCTTATCAATAACTAACACCTATATCTTTTTAAATTTCCCCGCTAACCATCAATAACTAACACCTATATCTCTATGCAATTACTTAACTACTCTATCTCAAATTCTTTTTCCTCTTCACATGTCACATTTTTCAGATATAATAAACCCACAACTTGAATATACATTTTAGATGAATACATTTGAATTTTATACTTACCCCATGCATCGCATAGTGTTAACACTATATATACTAGCGGTCCACCCCGTACGATGCATAGAATTATGATTTGTGTCTTTTGTTATTTTTTATTTATCCATTTTTTTATTTATCACTTGAGAAGTTAGATAAACATTGTAGAAAGTTCTTACGTGAAAGAATTGATTTGTTTGAATAAAGTTTTTAAAAAATAGTTGTTAGTTATTAAGAAGTTAAGAGATAGTTACAAATGGCAAGTAGCAGCGTTTGATTTGAGAGAACCTTAAGTTTTGAATTAAAAAATTTAAAATTATGAGAAATTAGAAAATGATGAGGAAAGACTTCTCAAACTCTCTCACCTCTCAATTGTTTGTTATTTATAATATAAAACATGACAGACTTTAATAAGTCCATCTGACAATCTCAAATAGACTCATTCAATGGTCATCAGTATCCCTCTCAAAACTATTCACATTACATCGTTCTTTTAGGCATGAGTTACCCCTAGTCTATAATATAAACTAGGGTGGCTTCAACAAGTTCATCATACGGTCTTAAATTCATTAATTGATCCAATGACACATAATTCATCACAACAACAAAATTATTCCACCCAAAACTTAAAGCATGTCTCCCAAGTCTGTCAAAAGCCCACCAGCCTTTCTCTCTCTTTCTCTCTCCACACTCCCTGCGACTTCTCTCTCTTTGCCATGGCTCAGCCACCACTAATGAACCCACCAATGAAGACAAAACACCCATGTTAGCTCCTTTATCTCTATCTCCAGTTGGGTTCTCTCTCTGTCTCACCTCTTTTTCTTCATCTCACGCACACAACACACACAAATCTCACCTCTCTTTCTTCAACTTTCTCACCAATCAAGCACACACACACAAACCCACAACACACAGATCATACACACACACACACATAGATCACACACTCACATAACACACACAACAACACACAAACACACACACATACACAAA